CACCGCTCGCCTTCATTCTATATATCAACGTATAAATTTATATATCAGATATGAATTCGATTTAATTTAGATATGCTCATCTACATACAGCAGTCTATGAGAGCTTATGTAAAGCAATTGAAGAGCAATGTCGATTTGTGAATCAGGTCAGTGCATTATTCATTATCTTATCTTATATTGACTGTTTTGATCGTGTTTGAATGAAGTTTGATATTGATGTATAAGTATAGAGACTGATGAAGAAATGATTAAATTCAGGAATTGTTATTGGATAAGATGCAACGGAGTGGTGAATGTGATAGTTTGTTGGTGGATGATGAGACTTTGTCTCGAAAATTGGGCAGAGATGAAACAGTGAAGGAGATTAGCGATAGGTTGGCCTCGAATCGGGATGGGAACGTAAAGAATACAAATGGAAATGGGATTATACCAAACACAAAGTTGACTCGTCACTATATTTCCACACAAAGAATTATAAATGCTGTCAGGAATTATAGCACTTGTGAGTTGTTTTTTGATTGAATTGTTTAATCGACTGATTGTTTGTTTGATGTTCATTTATGAGTTGGTTACAGCAACATCTTCGTCGTCGTCGGAACGAGGAGAAGTGCTCGATCCGGTGAATATCCTGTCGGAGTTCGCTCGAATCGAATACCCGATCGGTCATTTTGCTTGTGATGTCGTCGATCATCATTTCTTTTTCGTTCATCCTCGACTGCAAAACTACAAACCTTTATCTTCCATCCAAACCTCAAGTAGCAGTGCTTCTTTTGGTGTGTTTTACTGCCTCAACTACCACTCATTCTTCTTCTTCTTATTATTATTACTGTTATTTTTATGATTGTTGCATTGTATAATTGTGCATTCAGCAATTGGATTCGAAGCACTACGTCAGGCAATCGAGCGATTTGCGGTGCGTAATCGTCGTAATATGTATGTGTTTCGAGAGGTGGACAGTAGTCATGTGTTCTACATGAGATTACATATGAGTCTGAACAGTGTTCGAGAGAATTGCGTCTTTGATATGCACAAATATTCGTGGATGAAGGATGTGAGTGTGTTTGTTTATTGGGATGGAGTGTGAGGCGCGAGTTGATCAGTGAGTACGTTTGTGATAATTCAGCTGAACGAAATGCTTCAAAAGAATATATTGTTAACGATTCACGGCATCCATCAGCCCGGTAAGGACCTGAAGGCGATCATCGAAGCGATGCAGAAACGTCTCGATATCAAAGTACTCGATGAGATTACAAATACGCTCCATAAGACGCCTCAAACGAGGCTTACGCCTGAGGATGTTATGGTATTATTATTATGATTTTATTATTATTATTATTATTATTATTATTATTATTATTACTATACCTCATGACATTCTCAGTATGAAAAATTTGATTGAATCGATGACCAACCAAATTATGTGTGGTGAATGAATGCAAATTAAAGTTTATTCAACGTGATCCATGTCAACCGGACGCAGTCTACCATTGCACTTTGCCAATGTACACAGAGGAATACCTCGGCTCGTTGTACTTCTACATCAAACAACAGATGCTAACGTTTTGCATCAGTGCCCGCTTCAGAGATTGTGCTCATCCATCTAACCACTCATCATCAGCAAATCAAAGAACTCATTTCTATCCATACATTCACAGTAATGATGATGACTGTAGTGATTATCAAACGTCTTTCTTTATCATCAACCGACCGTCATCAAAAGGCAGTTCAAGTTTAGGTTGGCTTCATTGAATTGATTCGCTATCGACGATACCCAAAATGTGACAATAATAAATAATATGATATCATTGAAAGGAGTGGCTTGTGTGGAGTGCCGACTGGTGGATGTGAACGGGGAATGCAAACGGCACTTGAAATATGCACAGTTTACAACCGCTATACATTCACAATTGTATCCTGGTGGAGGGAACAAGCTGAGAGGTTGGTCGGTGGAGCGATTCCACGAATTGACCAGGTGCATCAACCGATCGTTGAATCCCAACGATTCAATGAGTTCACCTCACTGTGAGTCGTCATCAAATACATTCGTTGTTCAGCAATTACCGTCCGTGACCGGACAATTTGCCGGAAAACATTTTGCCTAACGACAGTTTGTCTAAAGACACACTGCTTGAAAGACGGTTTTTTTTAAATGGGTATTTTGCCTGATAGGCAAATTGTCCTTCGGCAATGAGTTTTTAGGCGAATTGTCCGGCTACCAGCAATTATTTTAGCCAGTATTGAGTGATTTTGTTACAGCCAACAAAGTGAATACATATGTGGAATTCAACGTATGGCGTTGTGGTGATGTGGGTCTGTCTTCGTTGAATTCTCGTTTCAGATTATCCGTTCAACAGGTATCGCCTCTCACTTCTCTATTTACTTCTATCTATATTCAATGGCATGACCAGGATTTTTTCCAGAAAGAAGCACAAAATAGTCTAGTCCATAAAAATAGCCGAATTTTTAATTTAGACGCGGCGAATGTTTCTACGTTTGATTTTTACTTCTCCCTCCCATATTTTCTTTTTCTCGTTCTTTTTCCCACTCCCTCCTTCCTTACCTGTCCTTCTTTTGCCTCCTTGTCTGCCTCTCTTTTTTTCCAGCGGGTAGGGAATACACTGCTGTCCATACCTAATAAAATAACAATAACAATCTGCAATAACAATCAGGCATTATGCGATCTAGTGACTGAGTTCGGTCTATTGGGTAATGCAGTGCTGGATTGTCACTCTTCGCCGTTCAATGCATCCTCAAATGCAGCATCCATATCGTCCCGAAGACGTCCCGAACGACATCCCACTCCTTTGAGGTTCGTTGTAGTTGTGTTCATATGTGGTATTCTATGCAAATAGATGATGCTAGTTATTATTGTTATTCAAGAAAACGCTCGTCGAGTGATGCGTTACTAGCACCGGGAGTGCTATCCCCAACAAAAGTGGACAATTTACATCAGTCGTCGAATAGCACCATTAACACTACCACTAAACACTCACAACAAAGTCAGTTATTGAATCGGAACGAATTGNTCGAGTGATGCGTTACTAGCACCGGGAGTGTTGTCCCCAACGAAAGTGGATAATTTACATCAGTCGTCGAATAGCACCATTAACACTACCACTAAACACTCACAACAAAGTCAGTTATTGAATCGGAACGAATTGATACGTCGATCGGCGCAATCAACGCAAACCGTGTTCAATTTCGAGGAGAATAAACGGAACTCGTTAACGGGTCTAACGAATATCAGTACGTTTCATTTCATCGTTTATTATTTGAGTGAATTACGGAAGGCGATAAGGTGGATTGGACGAAATTATATGAATTAGGACAGGGAAGGGAAGTCGGATACGGACGGTTTGGCTCTGCTTTTCTGTTTGTGACAGTTATCTCAAGTCTACTTTCGTTTCACTTACAACTGTCAGTTCAGATCCGGGATTGAGCGCGAGTAGTGAAGATACGCATAGAAATGAACTGGGCATCGGGGTAATGACCCCATCGATATTCGTGAACCGTCAGTTCAGCGGGGTTGCTCGCGAATGGTTCGATCATATGGTATCAGAGGTCAAGAATCTGAATGATCAACAATTTTCGCTGAAGAAGTTCATGTTTCATTTGGACAGTGATCATTCTGCTAGAAAGGTTATTTTGGTTGTTGTTATGATTGAGATTCATTAACTGCTTCAAATGTGCTCAATTAATTAATCGATTAGTTAAGATATGCAAAGTGATAAGTGATCGATTGAAATTGATACTGAAACGTGAAACGATAACATTGTGTCATCTGGAATCGAATACGTCGAAACGATACTCAGCTGTGCAGTGTGCTGAGTCGTTTGATCAACCGTTCACCGTTGGTTTTCTGATTTGATTGATTGTATGTGACTGGCATCTGCATCTATTACTCAACTCATCGAATGTTTTACATACTGCAGAGTGATGATGGTCGCATAGTAGATTCAGAGAATGTGGACATAAGTTTGATGTTAATTGCGTATCGTACCGACTACTGCGATGCTCTTTTGCACTTCAACAGTAGCAGTTCTACTGATACTGACTCCAGTAGTGCTCAGATACCTCAAAGATTATCTGAGGTGATCGATAATGGAGGTTACTTTTTAGTATTGAACAGTTCAATTGTTATATTGGATTTGATATATTCGAGAGTGATTGATGCAGTATGAACGGGAATTCTTTGTTACTTTCTTTGTTTATGCAGAGTGGGTCAAAATGATCTGATACATTTTTAGTTATTAAACCAATAGATTTGTCACATCATTTTGGCCCAACCTGTATTTTGTATTGAGTTGAATATGTTTAATCGGTTCATTGAACGAGTGATAATAATGATAATAAATCGTTTTTAAGATAATTCATTCCGATTCTATCCGCAGCTGTCTCCATTTGTACCAAGACAACAGTTACTCTTCTTTATTGTCCGTGGTGAAGTGGTTCGTTTTGTTCATATTTGTTCTTCATACAGATCATTCTTTGATTACATATGAGTAATGCAATTGCAGGCATCGTTGTACTTGTACAATTACTCGAGTAAAAAAGCGGAATGTGTGCACAGACTGTTCTTGAATGTGATCAGATGGCAGAATGCACGATCGAGGTTGTTGCGTGAGATCGGTCTGCAAAAGATGGGCATCACACACCTGTTCGCATCACTATCACTATCACCGTACAGTCAGCACTACAGCAAACGTTCATCGCTCTCACAGCAAATCACATCGCCACCAATACTGCTCTGGTTGAACGCTTCGCTCCTCTACAAATACGACTACTTCGCATTCAACGTTGATTCAACGTCGTCATGCCATCACGCGTCTTCGGATGTGACTGCCAAGCAGACATCCCCTGATCGGTACTTACATTCAATCACTGATGTTCATTTCTATTATTTCTCTGTCAACTTTATTCAATAATTTGCAGCACGTTCACCACGAATGAAATGCTGAATGCGAATCAACTTCGACTCCGCATCAAATTGTATCGTTACTCGAATGCTTCCTTCTTGGCCATAAATTTGAGACCGACCTTCTTCGAGGATCAATGTGAACAAATGTTAATGATTGAAAATGAGGTTCCTTTGTTGTTTATCATATGGATGCGTCGTATACGCATGATGAACAATGCATAAATGATGTAAAATTAAGATAAGTGGCCTAATGGATGATCATGATCGATTCAATATGGTGCACGAGTCGCTGCTGAATGGACTGAATGAGATCAGTGAGAAGGATTTGATATTGATCACGATGCGAAGTCGGGAGGTGCATTATGTTAAGTCACCTCTATTGTTATTTCCTCGCTGGAGAAGACTCATTGCCGCCATTCGATTTTCGACTGAGAACAGAAAGTTGGTTTGTTGTTATTATAGAAGTTGACTTGTCTTTTGGTGATGCTAATAGTAATGAAAGTAGCTAATGATGAAAAAGTTTAAGTGATTTCCGACACTCTCTGATAGAAGATGCATCAACGCGACGTGCAAGTGGCTCGAAACTATCGAAATATGAAGCACCGTTGCATTACCCGGGCAAAGTTCGTTACTTATTAGTGCATATGATGATTTTCTAGTAGTCCTCTTGTTCATTCTGCTTATGGTAAGATGTGTGTGTGTTGCGGGCAAGGAAGAAAACTCGGAGACCAGATTTGCAGTCAAAGACCCAGAAAATGCGGTCACTTTGAAAAATGTCGGGAATGCGGAATTAAGGGGATGGGGTCCCTATTCATCACGTCGAACTGTTGATGATGACTGTTAACAGGGCGATTAAGAGGGTATTCCATCCTTACAAGGGCTCTCACACGTCGTCCCTTCCAGCGTTTGGCGTCGAGAAGGAATTTGGAGAGCAAGAATCGCTCCGATTATGTGGCTATGGAACCGAAGTCTCCATGAGCAATAGGAAGGCTCAGTGCACAGTGACCGAATTTGCAAATCGTGAAAGAAAGACTATGAAAAAATAGATTACAATAACGTGGCAATATTGTTATGTGGATGTAAGGACTAGCTAGATCACGAATTTAACTGCTTCAAGCAGCCAGTTCCTTTCGTTTATTGACTATTGGGGATGTCTCGTTTCCATAAGTTTTCTCTTATAATTTGCAAATTCGGTATCTGTGTACTGATCCTGCATACTACCCATGGAGTTTTTGACTTCACAGCTAAATGAGCAGAGCGTTTCTCGCTCTCCAAATTCCTTCCCTGATGACGGCATGGCGTGAAACGCGGAAACTTTCCAAGGGATCACGCATTTTGGCCTGTGCAAAGGCGATTTTTCTTCAACAATCGTTGCAGTCAAGCATATAATAATAATAACGGTAATGATAATGATAGTGCTGAAATTTGTAGTTTCGTTCAACGACAACCATACCAACAACACTCCTATCAGACTCGTCAAATTATGCAACCGTGATACCGTGTCATCAGCAGCACATCACACTGACTGATATTCATCCGTCACATTTACGTCGTTTGACCGATGAAGATGATCCGTGCTGTTTGAAGATTCAGTTCATGCTTGTTGAGGTTGGCGCCTTGGTGACATTTGGTGATCGATTTACTTTAAGTTGGGATATCAGTGATTGTTGATAATGGAATGTTGTTTTAGAGTTATGTGGAGTATGTGAAAAGACTCGGATGGCAGTTCGTGAACGTCAATGAAGTGAGCATTCCGAACTTGAAAAAGAATCCGTACACTCTGCGATATGATATGCAGGTTTGATTTTTGCTTGATTCAACTACATATCACAGATTATTTACGGTCTGCTCCAGATGGGTCATAAGCGATCAAGTAGATGCTATGTTAATTGCAATACTTCAGAATACTCAATGCTCACCGAACATATGGCTGTTTAAAGTTGCGTTGGGTGGTATTATATTCCTTCATCTGACTTTTGTTGAACCCTATTTCAGGTCTGTTTTTACAGTTTGTTTTGATTGTTGTGTGTGATTCATAGATATATGACAGTTTGTTGTTGATTGCCGTATGTAATGAGAATAAAACAACGTTAAGTGTTCGTATACTGGTGTGGAACAGATCGCAATTGAGTAATGTGATTTCGATCGAAGAGAACGGAGGCAATCAAACGGATGAACTGAGGGAATTGGAAATAATGAAGGACGAAATGGTTTTGAAAGGACATGTTCATTCGTTCACGTACGACTTCCATCTGAGAATGGTGGCCACTTATCTGGTTGGTGGACAGCAGGTATGTGGCTTGATTGCAGTATTTATGAGGAAGACGTGTAAAGTAATGTGAATTCTCAATTTAAAGGTGCTCTTCAATCAAGGCTATAATACAAACGCGTTCTTGATTGATTTCCTTCAATACTATGGATGTAGACCACCGTATGCTCGAAACTGTGTCTACGAAGAACGAGTTGGTTTTATTGTGTTATTAGTCTATTATTTAGTTTGATCTTGAACTGTGAATCACTCACTTCATTGAAACAATTCACAATACTGTGATGGTTTCTCGTGAATGAGTTATTATTCGACTTTAATTCCCCACCGCGCATGCATGTTTTGAGATGCGGGTGGGTTCGTGGGTTCATTTGGTCGTTTTCAATAGTAGTGATTTTACGATGAATGCGAAAGCACCTGAGAAGTCTTCAAAAGGACGTTTTTCCATTTTTTTCATAAGTAGGAAGTTTCATTGTATTTGCTTGCAAACACATCCTGAAGGCACATAAGTGATCTGTGCGATTGGAGTGCTTATTTTGTTCGTTTCCTTAGCTGACTTTTACATCTGAGAGCGTTTCCTCTACTCGCAATCTGAGGACGCGTTTGACGGTATAAACGAGTTTGATTGATGGCAAATAAGGATTATTAAATGAGACTGTGTTTAGGTGGAATTTACGGGTCTGCCGGTGGATGCAGTGTTGATATGGGAGTACTTTCTGGTGGAGAGGACAAGTGAATGGAGAGTGGTACGATTGAAACCGTTGAATGAGGATGCATCAGATCAGTTCATGCTCGTTTCTGAACAGTGCAAGGTTCTTTTCAGTATGATTAATTGATTCCATTCATGAATGGTATCATATTCAGCAGTGTTGTTTCATTACATTTGTTTTACATCACTGATCTGATCAGTTTGTTGTGTTGATGAGTTGGTCACCCATGATCACTTATTATTCTTGATTAAGCAATACTTCGGACAAGCCTACAAAGCCACTCGTGTTGTCCTTCACGATCAACAATCCAAACAATCGTATGATCGCTTTTGTTTACCCATCAAATTCTATATCATCCTTGTGGCCAGTGAAAAGAGTTCGTTTCAATATGATCCTCATTAACATTAATATCGATTCAGTTGAACATTCGTTTTTTAACAGTACTCTTATTTATTATCCATATATTGATCATTCATCTTTATCGATAAATAAGCGAATGAAGTTTAGCTGAACCGTTCACGGAGAATATCAATTATGAATCGGATGTGCAGGTGAACCATGAAATGGGTGAATTCAAAGAGATGCTGCAGATAACGAAGGATGATGAGAACGAAATTGATGACAGCAGTAATATTTCATCACAGTTGGATTTCACTTCGTAAGTCTTGCTTTGTTCACTTTTTGTGAATGTAACAAATGTGTGCTGATATGATGTGATATAATAGTGATAAGCTCACAGGAACGATAGATCAGAATCGGAATCGTGGTCAGCCACTCCGAATGGTCGTCGTCGTTTCTGCAGTGGTGATCACATAGCGTCAACGCGTGTCGCTGAAGTCGCACGTAAGTTGTCAACAGGTTATACGGCTTTTTGATTGATTGTTCACATTTGAAAGTTGTCTAGTGATTATTTTGATCGATCAGTTGCGCACAAGACACGTTCAGGAACAGACACTACAAGTCGATCGGCAGATCGTTACCCAGCAACCAATGAGAACACCAACCCCAGATTGTCAATCCAGAAGAGTGCACCTCGACGGCATCGAAAGCAACTCTCGAATTGGCTTTGTACGTCTTGTCTTTGTAGTTGCATGTAAATGTTCATAAATATAAAGGAATAAGTGTAAATGATAAAACTGTAGCTCGGAATGAAAAAGAAAACGGCGCAGTGTTGCCTCGAGAGCAGGTGATCTACGTGCATTATCTGAGCAGTCGTCAGCGCAAACTGCAAGAAGAGTTGGAAGGGTGTGTGGATGAGTACAGAATTCGACTGAACAAACTGGTCGACGAGGCTGCATGGCACTGTAAACGCGATCAGGTTTGTCTTCTCATCCATCAGATTATCGTTATCGCATGTGAAATGTAAGAGCTGATTCTTTGCAACAAGAAGAGTTGTGTTCAGTTACCTGGATTGGCAAGCAGGCTATCAAACGTTTATAACGTTGCTGGTCACAATGCTCGCGCTTCCGTGCGCATTGTTTTAGCCTCAATTTACGCCACCCAGCTGGCTAGGGCGACGATGCCAACCGAACACAACCGAGTAATTAATTAGTTGACGTGAATACTTTGCATACTTAATCGTAGCCAAATACCAGGCGAACACAACCGAGTAATTAATTAGTTGAGAGCCGTGAATACTTTGCATAATCAATCGTAGCCAAATATCAATCCAATAAATAATCATCAACCGAGTAATTTTAGTCGCTGTGAATACTTTGCATAATAAAAACGCAGTCAAATACCAATTCAATAAATAATCATTACTCTAATTAAATAAATATTCCGCCGATCGCTCACTGCGATTGACAAAACAACCACTCGATGTCCAAGTAACAATAATAAGTTATTGTGTTGTGTTCAGTTATGGAATAAAATGCTGGAATGCACTAGCAAACAACGTAACGAGGTACCGACGAGCAATAAGGAAAAAGATATCAGTCATATGCAGTCAACTAGTGCTCTACCGAATACTTACAACAACAGCAACAATACCAGCAACAAAACAACACTTCAACTAACGTCCAGCTCGTTAACCCATCACCCTCACGCTCCACCACTTGGTCGCAAACCGTCACTCTTTAACGACACGATTATGGGCAGTAATACCAGTAGCAGTGACCTTCTGAATATACTCAGAAGTGTGCAATCGTTTTCGTTAAGCGTGCAAGATATTGATCATTTGCTCAGCTCGACCACATCCATATCGATGATCGAAATCGAGCCACTACTCAAAGAGATCACAAAGGATTTCGATATCGATCCATTCTTTCGATTCCTGATCCTTCATTTCGGCGAAAAGAAGTGTCGATTCTTTTGTTCAGACGTTAAAAAGGTTCAGACGTTTATTTATCATATGTACGGTATCGTTTCACTCTTCATTCTTTAATAATAAATAATATTTGCAGCATTTGGTTATAATGACGAATAATGCTCAGCATTGCGCATTCTTGATGACTGTTTTTGCAAAAGATCATCTTGAAATGCGAATCATTTTTAAGGTTAGTAAAGCGTTTTGGATTGTACTCGTTTTGTTTGATCACAATGAATATAAACATCTGAATATGAATTTATAAATGAAACGAATTAAAGGACGACAATGAGAGAGGACTGAATGAGGCCACCAGCTCGTCAGCAACACATCAGTCGTCGTCAACAAATAAACAGTTGGTGATGTCTCAGCTGGATGAGCACTTACGAGAACAGTTCACTGAGATCGTTCGCTGTGCTGCGTCATTCTGTTGGATCGAAGTCGTCAACTCGCTACCGTCCACTAAATTCAAATTATAAATATCGTTTTCATTGCTTTATTGCATATATCATTGTTTTCTTGTCAGTGGGTTCGTATGTTGACTGCTCTCAAATCAGTCAAATGTGTACATATTGCAACATTGGATAAACGGTAGAATATTGACGTGTCTGCTTTAGAATGCTTATTGTACAGAATAATAAGATAGATTCAAGTGAATGTGCGCTTCTGCTGAGTTGTTGTTTATGAATGGTGTATATGCAAATGTTAATTTAAAGACAAACATCTCGGCATATTTTTGAATTATTATGCGAAATAGATGATGTTATGTCGATGTGAGGTGATCAACTGCCATTCGAATCACGTTCCCAAGGGTGTGATGAACGTGATTCGAATGACAATTGATTTGCTCTGGCCATATTATCGCCTGTGTTCTTTAGCGAATGATTTTCATCGGCAAGTAACAATTGATTATGAAATTGGATCAGTATCACAATTTGATTGAATGTGATCCTTTTTGCAGTTGATTCATACGCGAGTACTCATCAAAAAGATTCATTACTGTTGGCTTTATATTGTTGTTTTGTTAATGTTTTTCTTGTGAGAAGAGAATGATCTTGAGTAATTAGTTCAAATCAGTCAGTTGTAACGTGGAGAGGTGTTTTTATAAATGTGTTTCTTGGTGCATGGATATCGACTTCAGTTTGTGATTTTATCTTCACTTTTATTTTTTATCTGTTTGTTGCAAATGTTAAATTATTACCTGTTTCAACAAGTAACTGAAATATCATACGGGGTGTATCATTTTCGAATTATTCGACGATTGAACGTTGAAAAAAATTATCAGATAAAAAAATTTTATTGGAGAACGTTTCAAGTGACTTCAGTGACTCTTGATGAAATGAAGACTGTAAACGAAAGTGTGGATGATTGCTGGTGATTAAGATTCATTTCATGTGTTCGGGTCGAAAAGAATGCCTTCAAAAGTCATTTAAAAGGATTCTAACTATCATACATTTGATTTCATGTATCATTCGTAATTTGCAATCTGTCAACATATCTCATTCTTGGTCAGTTTTGTGTTTCTATTTGTATTGAATGCATTAAAATATCATATAACATGATATTCAGTTGTTATGAAGTTATCATAAGTTATATTCAGTTGTTATCATAAATTTTGTACATGTTAAAATCATCAACTAATGAAATTTCAATCGAAATTGTATTTTCAACTATAAACTGCTTTTATGAACTGGTAAATAAATTCATTGATACGGATCGAGTTACAAGGAAATGTTTGGTAAGTACCGACCGACTTGTTTTTATAGGCGAGTGTTAGGTTTCTAAGCCAAGATATATGCCTGCACGCACAATGCATTCATCGTTGTGGTTCTAATCTCGTGGTACGCCAAGAGACTTATGGAATTTGGATACGAGTCAGCAATCTGGAATGATCGATGGAATTGAAGGTAAAACGACAAACCGATATGATGTGGAGGTATTCCTGTTGAATGATACCTATCCGTGTGTCATTATTCAACTAAGGCAATTCAATAACATTCAACTTAGATATCATTGTATCTGCTCGCACGCTACTGAGAGAAATTAACTCGGCTAATCGTTAATTCGCTTTGAAAAATGTTTTTGTTCTGCCAGAAATAAGTCACTCTTAGCGTTGTTAACGAACAACTGACGAAAGCTTTTTTCGGTAAATGTGCCGATAACTGGAAAAAGTAGCGGAAATCTTGTTAAAATGTCACTCAACAACCATTGCAATTTTTAAAAAAAATTTCAAAATTGTTCAAAAATTGCAATCGCACCGCTGATTTCTCTCGTAGAAACAAGCTTCATTACGCAACCAACTCAACAGTCAAAAATATTCACTTGATCATTCAGCAACAAAAGAGCGTTTTAATAACAAGCAAGAGCCATCAATAAAAAAAATTTCCAACAAAAAAAGAGCGATAACAGCAAAATTCAAAAACGTAAAGCACTCAACAGGCAGCATCTCATTTAACACATTCTCATTCCCTTCTGAGAACATCAACACGCTGAGCATTTCATCTAAAATTTCGGCTCGTTTGGATATTATTGTATCGGCTGGCTCAGTACCATTAACGTGGAAGTAGTCAACGATCCGGTGATGATATCCGACCGACAGTTCGTCGGAAAAATCCGACAACTCTGATCGGAATCCTCACATTCGTATTTCCACTGAACAATTCCGACAGTCGGTCGGTCGAAATCCAAACGACGTGAAATTTCGCTCAGATGCCATCACTAGTACATAGTGATCAACATGGATACAGTGCATTGAAATGAAATGCTTCAGAAAATTAGCTATAACTCTGAATATAAGCAAAATTGTCTGAAAACACATATACCACTCTGAAACTAGAGAATGTGGAGAATTCGATGGTGTGAAGAAACGACCATGTTACTGGGCAAACCTGAGAACAGCGATAGTTTGAAGATTACAACCCTAATACTGCTAAAGTAATGTATTGTACAGATTCAATCTCTCACTCAGTCCTAGCTGTTCAGAAGAGACGATTCCAGCCAACATATTAAAGAATACAATTTCAATCAAAATGGCGTACGCAAACATGTAGTCCTATTCTCATTTTGAAATCACTAGCCCACATATGGAGGAATTCTTTGACCAATATTTTCCGTTTTTCAATCCAGGCAAACGAAAAATCCAAAAATTTTCTGAGACCAACATTCATATTTTTTAAGAATATGCATATTTGTGAGTGTGTTGAAAATATACACTTGGTATGGGAACTTAAATGATCGATGCTTTTAAGATGTTTACTTTCGTTGTGTGTCACAAAGCGATTGATTGAAGTGATTTTGATTCATTGGATTGATTCATAAAAGTGAATAAATACAATATGATAGTATTCACAAGGCGCATCATCGCATTCAGTGAGAAACTGAATAGAAGATTATTTCTTCGCTTTCTGAGAAAGCAGATCTTATGGCATTGATGATAGACGTCATTCGTCTGGATTGGCTCACTTATTCGGTTTGCACGTTTCCGGAATCTTTCTGCATATTCTGAGGCAATCTTCAAGACAGCTCACACCACCTTTAATTCCGTTGCATTGCCATCTACAATAGCCAGCTATTTGCAGCTCGATTCTTTCGTCCACTTTCTTACTGAAGATGCCTTTTGCATTGCATATCGTTGTTGAGAGGAGCAATAGAATCAATAAATTGAAATACGTTCTCAACATCCTCCCTGAAAATTGCATTATGGTCGTTATCGGTGACCCGAGAAGAGTGACGATTTCAATGCACAAACCGTGCTTAGCGAAAGTACTTAAAATCTACGTGAACGTAATCCTTCTTTGGCTATCTATTATTTATAGATAAATGAGAAAAACATCAGGAATATGATCTAGTGATCAAAAAGTTTGCTCTCAAATTCATCAGTGATATCAAAGAAATCAATTCGTTATGATCGAAAAAGCGCTTTGAATCTATTTTAAAAAAATGGTAAAAAGAGTTATGCAAACAATTGATAACAAGAAAGGTATTTGAAAAAAACATTCAGTAATAATTTCTCAGTTTCTTCAAATCTCCTCCTGACACCCTCGAATTGTTTCTAGGAGATATTCCTCCACATAAAGACACCTGCTACAAGCGAACCGTGACTGAATGAACAAAAAATGAGCGAATGATTGCTCTGGTAAAGCGATAATTGTGAGCATGATTCAAGCCAAATATTTCATAAACGTTAGCGCAGCTGTTGCATGAAATTTCACATTGTACATTCACCGCTAGCTTCTTTGCCGTCTACGGACAGCAGCATTCTTCTGATATGCGACGATCATTTAAACGTTCCCCCTTTCCTTCTGTATTGCTCTCATATTTTTAACGATTAATCTCACTTTTGCTCCATTGTATCTCTTCATTTCACGATGTTCAAATTTCCGTTGGTTTTTACTTTGCCCTAACAAACAGTTCAATTTCCAATTCATTATCATCATGTGAAGAAGCAATTGCATGCGTTTGACTAATTGCTCATCTATTCGATCTGAATAATGATTTGCTTGAAGTGTGTCATGAGATGAGCTCATCTGTTAGTCATCAAGGGAACAGATCATCGATATTGAATCAAATGCTCACTGAAAATGTGCGGAAATACTGTAAGCAATGCTTTAAACTATCACTGATGCTGCAAATTGCAAATCGTTCACTTGATTGCCAGTATCAATTTTGAATTGTTTCAATCGAATTCCAGACAGTCACTTCCATATTAATCAGTTATTTTGGTGTATTAATCAGTTAATGATAGTGGATTGCAAATTACAATATGAAATGACCATAGAATTTTATTCGATTGAATAGTGTAAACCATAAAACCATTAAAATGACCAAACTCTATTTATTTATCATTTGTGAGCGAGTGGAAAGCTAACTGAAATTTCATGAACATTTTTCACTGGCAAGCAGAAGGCTGGCTTTAAGTTTACATAGCCTATTCTTGAAATGACGGATAATGATGAATTTAGCAAATAATATAGAGAGACGATTGTACGCATTAGAGATGTGCCATGATACATGAAGAAATTCTTACATTTGAGTGAGTTGGGATTAAGAAAGTTGAATTTTTAGTAAATTTATTGCAGTAATGGCATCGACCTTTTCAAAGAATATTGAAATATTAGATCAACGAGATCGAGAGTAAATCATTTTCGTTATAGGGTACCTTTACAAGAACACATCTTACCAACGCCCTTTCAATAGAACATCTTTACACATCCTCAATGAGGTTAACACAATTTGCTGCGTATGGAGTAGCGTTGGGTAGGTAACCACCGAAAATCGGTCGGTAATCACCGACGGTTTTTAGGTGATCCCCGACTGTCGGTGAATACCGAGTTGCGGTGATTACCGACCCGTAGGTGACCACAAACCGCAACCGACAAAGCGTGCTCGGTCGGTGGCGACGGCAACCCGCCAGGCGGTTACAACCGATCGGCAACCGACCGATGCTCAAAA